TGCCCCTTGTCCATGTCTCAATAAAATTTCATATGCTTTTTCGAATGATCTAATCAAGAGCCTTCAACCTGTGGGCTGTCCAGTGAAGCAGCTCTTCCAGACTCATACGCATACACTGAGAAAAAACTGTATAAGCTCTACATTAGCTAATGAATTTTCTAGCTTAAAGCCATGTGCGAAAGTAAAGGAGAGCACGAGATTGGCCAAGAATCAAGCTTGAGTTTTGAGTCAAATTTGAATGAATTCGATTTATACACTGAGAAAAGGAAAAGGCTAATTTCGCAAGACTCCATTAGAGTCTGAGCTCTTCTGCAACATGCTGATTATGAGCATCAAATCTAAGTACACAATATGTGTTCATTTACAGGGTATCTGCTCACTCAAGTTGTTTCGATTGCAAATAATAGAAGACTTTGATAGCATCATTGGATAACGCATTTCAATGGATCGTTACAGTAAAGAGAACAATGACTGACTCTGACTCTACCTAGGGTTACGAGCCATATGACATTTTCATAAATCTTCGCGCAGCTCAACGCGAGCTGTGAGCGGAGGCGGAGCGAGGCGAGCTTCAATTGTCATGGCATTGTCTTGACAGCGATCGAATGGCGATCGTAACTCACAGATCAAAGCGATCTGGCAATGGCCAACTGCAAGTATATAAATATATATATATATACTGTTATACATATGTATCTATATCTACATATATACTCTATTGTATATACCTATCTATTGATATGATCTCAAAGATCTCCTTCTCGTTTATACTTTCTCCTGTCTTTCATATCCTATATATATATTATATATATTTATTTGCTTACAGTTCTCGTTATCTCCTTAAGTTCTGTATGAAGTTTCAACCATTTCGAAAATCACAGAAGAAATTGCATTGAGTTCGAAACCAGTCTAATTGGAATTTCGCATAGTTCAAGTTCATCCATCTTCCAAACTGATTCGAACTCGCACGGGACATAGCGGACAAAAACCAATCGAAATTCGAACACAGATGGAATTCAGTTCGAAATTAGTCAGATTGGATTTTCGAATATATAGCTTGTTTGTTGATGGATTTTCGAAATCGAAACCGTTTCGAACTGGTGCGAACCGGCATTGGCATATTGAATCCCGATTTGAGCTGCAAATGGAAATCGTTGCATGAATAAAAAGACAATTGCCATTTGGAATGCTGTAAAAAATATATATGTACATACACACATACATATGCAGATGTGCATGAGCCGGGCCATGCAAATGCGCACATGCACATGCACACACATATATATATATACATAGCGCTGGGGCACACATATATATATATATAGATATGGATATATACATATATCAGTTTTATTTAGTCTTCTTTCTTTCTTTTTAGCAAGCTGCGCGCCGATGTCCTGCGAATGGCACAATTATTATTTATTTATTTATTTGTTTGTTCTTCGATTTCATCTAAATTTTTGATTTATGATTTTGGATTTTTTCTCTTTGCATTTTAGACTTTCATAATTTTGGTTTTTGTTCATTTCTTTGTTTTTTTTTTTGTACGTTTTTTTCATCGCTTTTTTGTACAGAATTTCGTGCTGAAAGAGAATTAGTTTTTTGTTTTTGTTAAATTTTAAAATTAACTTAATGTGGAGCAGGTGCGAGCGAGCTGGCGCTAGCCGCAGTTTGCTCAGCCATAGACTAGAGTAGCTAAGCATTAAGCCATATGCCAGCAGAGCGAAAGAGATAGCTAGCGCACTGCATTAGCTTTCTCTCCCTCTCTGTGTGTGCACGTGAGGTTGTGTGTGTGTGTAACTTAAGGAGTGTGTGTGTTGTACAACAATTAAACAGAAATTAGGTCAGTTACAAAAGTATAACAAATCAAATAAATATATAAGACTAGAAGGTAAGCTAGGCCTAGGCATAAACTATGCACTATATACTATTTCTATATATATACATATATATATATAGATTTAATTTAGCTAGTTTTGTTAACAATTTGTAATTGGAAATTGTTGCTGAAAATTTAGTAAACGAAAAAAGGATTTTGTTTAGATGAAATCAGCTTTACAATAGTCGAAGATTCGCAAAGTAAAATGATAATGGAATAAGCATATATATACATATATATATATATATATATATATTAGTTACTAGATATTGTATTTATAGCTACTTATATATAATATCAACTAGTTACTAAATACTCTGCTTCATCTTTTTATCACATTTAACTATGGACAAACACATTGAGATGGATGTAATATACATATGTATATATATATATAGATCAATATATATATATATATAAGCAGTAGACAGATCTTTGGAGACATATATATATATATATATATAGATATATATATATATATATATATATATATGTTTATGTATAGGTATAAGGGAAGTGCTAATTTCTGTTGGTTTTCTTAAAATCTAAAACTTGTTTTGTTGTTGTTGCTTAGGAAATAAAAATAATATGATATATATGCCTATATATACATATAGGTTATATATAACTAGTCGTGTCAATGGCAACAATAATAATAATAATAGTAATAATAATAATGGTAATCATAATCATAATCATAATTTGTATATATAAGGAAAAGAAAGTGAATCACAGACTCGTTTTTTGTTTTGTGTTTGCTTAACCGTTAGCTATATAGATATATACAGGCATGTTTTGTTGTTGTTGTTTTTATATATGTAATATATGTATATATATGCAATATACTTTCATTTTTATTAGTTCATAATTTAGTTAAATATATATATTTGATTTTTTTGTTTTTAATCTGTGTTTCTACGTTTGTCTTATTATTTGATTATAAGAGTTTTTTGCTTCGTTTTCTTTCTGTATAAGAGTTGAGTTCTGCGTGGTTTGTTGTGTTATACAATCATTAACTAACACACACACACACACACACATCATAATTGTGTTAGCATTTGTTTCTTTTTTTTTTTAACTTTTAAAAATAATATAAAAAAAATATATTCATATTGAATTAAATACAATTGTTATATGTGCTTGCTTTAATATATATTAACTCTTAAATTTAGTTTAAAAAAAAAGTAAAAAATAATCAACATTTTGAAAAGCGTGAAAATATTTTAACATATACATATATAATGGAAGTCTGTATAAGAGTTTAGATCAATAATTATATTTATATAATTGTATAAGTGTGATTTGCTCTTATACAAACTGAAACTTCCATCCTACAAATATATATAATGACAGATTCAGTTTGTAAAAGGCTATATCAAAATTGTAAATTATATATATACATATGTTATTTAGTCTTATACGAGCTTAAGCTTCCATCATATATATACACATATATATGTATATATATATATATATATATATGTGTATATATATATATATATATATAATATTTCTGTTTATTTATTTTTTATTTAGTTTTTTAGCTTGACTTTAAATCTCTTTGCGCTTAAGTAATACAAAAGTTCTAGCTTAACTCTAAGTTCTTTTTTTTTATAACTTTTACAGTTTAAGAATTTGCATTATTTTTAATTTAGTTTTAACAGCTTAATTTTAGCTAAGGGGTTTATATATATATATATATTTCTTTAGCATTCGTATCTGTTATATTCTTTTTATGGCAACACACACACACAGATACAGTTATAAGTGTGTGTTTTTATGTACATCAACTTAAGTTTTAGACTTATTTATATATTACTAATGTATCTATATATATATGCATTAACTTTAATATTTGTTTTTTGCATTTAGTTATTTTATTTCGAATTTTGGTTTTTCTCATTAACAGAAAAAAACTGCCATATTTAGCTTTTCCAACGGATTTTCCCTAACACTTTAACAGGCCATTATGGTAATGCTTCTTTGTGCTCCACAGTTGACAGAGACACAGTTCGTTTATATTATTATTTTGTATAGTTTTATAGTTGTTGAATGCTTTTATTATGCAGGCCACACAGAGACAAACAAACACAGGAAACGAGACAAACGGAAGGCAATCGAAACAGCTTTGCATGTGGCATAAACATAGAACGTAAAACATAGATATATAAGTCGAGTACAGTCGAAACAAAGGTGTAAACACTTTAAAAAGAAGAAGAGCATAACTATTATTATTGTTTGTAGGACAAAAAAAAAGTAAGGAAAGTTTAAGCTTAGTATTCGCTCGTTGCGTCTGGTCATATAAAATCGTTAGACTAGCATAGAACTTATGTATATATATATATATCTGCTATATCTTATATGTATTTATGTGTTTACTTATATAGTTATACAGTTACTAGACATACAGCTAATATATTACTTTTATATTTTAAATATATATATATATTTATATATATCTGAAATAAGCGCTCTATTTGAAATTAGTCTAGTCTTTAATATGTATAATAAAATTAAATACAAATACAAAGTTATCAAGTTTGGGTTTCTTTTGCTTTTTGAGATATCAAAGGGTTTAACAAAAAAATTATATATCTATATATATATATATAATGGACATATATATATATATTTGTGTGTGTGTGTATTATTTTATATATTTTAAAGAGATGCGCATCATTAAGTTCTAATTGTGTTTTTTTTGTACAGTTACAGTTAAGTTTAGGTAAGTATATATATATATATTTATATATATATATTTGTGTTAATTATAGATATATATATTAGTTTTAACTTTTTTTTTAAACTTAGATCTACGCTTTCTGTTCCGTTTCTACTGCTGCGACGCTTGTCAAATTAGATTTTCTATTTCATAATGCTTTTATGTGTGTGTATGTATGTATATATATGGATATATATGCATACAGTTATAATTAAAACGTTTTAAATACAAAATACATTGTTTTTGTTGTTGTTGGGCTTTAAACACTTATGCAGTAAAACGACAAAATAATGCATGCAACAGCCTCTGCCTGGGCAGTCGCTACTGTTGCAACTTTACAGCTATATATATAAATATATATATATATATATATATATATGTATGTATGTATGTATATATATAAGTCTACATATATATAAATACTTATAGACTTAACATTTCAGTTAACTGCATGGCCTGCTGTTGCTGCTACTTAGGCTGCCCCTGCGGCTTAGTCATGCTTGAGTACAATTCGTGTTGGCGCTTTGCTGCGCTGTTTGTTGTTGCTATTGCTGCTGCTGCCGCCTGCACTGCCACCTCCTGCTCCTCCGCCAGATGATGATGATGATGCCGCCTGACGCTTTTCCAAACGTTCAAAGATGCCGCTACCAACTCCAGTTGCTCCAGCGCTGCTGCTGCTGCTGCTGTTGCCCTTGCGCTGCATTAGCTGCTCCTCGCGCTGGCGTCGCTCCCTTTGCCTGCTGCTGCTGCTGCTGCCGCCACCATGCGACGTGGATTGCTGCTCAGAGCCACCATTGCTGCTGGATGGCTTCAGCACCACACGCCGCTGGCCGACACTAAAGCTGGCACCGCCGCTGCGCACTAGTTTCGGATTGCGATTGACCACAAGCAGCTCCGGTGTGGCCGAGCGCTTGATGTTGGCGCGCGACGACGACGACGACGGCGGCGGTGGAGATGGTGTGGCCAGCAGACGATCCTCCTCGTCCAACATTAGATCATCGTCGTCATAGTCGAGGTCCACCTCATCATCGCTGGGCGTGCCCAGACGCAGCATGCTGCCAGCTGGCGCCACATCTCGCCCTTTGCTGGTGGTGCTGATGATGGCGCTGCTGCTGCTGCTTGTGGGCGGTGTGCCGCCAGCGGCTCGACCACCACCTGACAGCTGCTTGCTCGAAGGTGCCAAGTGTTCGGTTATGCTGCGCTTCGCCTCCGGCGCAATCTTTGCAGCCGTCAACTGCTTGCGTACACCTGGCACAGGCTGCTGCTGCTGCTGTTGCTGCTGCTGCTGCCGGCTGCTGCGTCCATTGCCCACCTCGGCGTCGTCGCGACGCTTTAGCGAAATGACTTTGCGCTCATTGCCCAACGCCGCCTGCCGCTGCTTTTGTGCGCTGCCAGGCGCTGTGCTCGTAGCCATCGCCGTCGCCTGCCCACTGCTAGCCTCCAGTTCATCTCGTGGCGCCGGGCTGTGCTGCTCGACGCGCTTCTCCTGCAAGGCAACAATTGACTTTAATTACACTTATCCATCTATTTCGGTTTCGGTTTTCACTCGAAACACTTCAAATCTATTCCCAGCTTCTGACTATATAGCTTAATATATTTACACATTTTAATTAGGTTAGCTCTGTTTTACTCTCTCTCTCTCTCCCTTGCACTCTCTTCAATGATTTTATGAAATTCAATTTGAGAGTTCCAACCCTGAACTTTTATTCTATTAATCAAAATCTAAGAACAGGCGTGACAGCCCCTTAAAGTATTTATATTCTTGATCAGAAGGATCTGTCTATACGTCCGCCTGAACACAGCGAACTCGTTAGCTTGGAATTTGAAATCTGCATAAAAAACTATGTATAACAAAAGCATAGGATCGGTAGCGTAGGTTTCACGATATTTCCTAGTCGGACACTCCCGACTGTACCACTCTTACTATCTATGTTTCCTTAGTTCTTATGTATTCTCTTCGCGCTTTCTGTTGAGCAATGCTTTACTTATTTTTTCGATAACAATTGGATTACTTAGGACTCGAACTCTGAGCCACTTTTCTGTCAATTGGTCAGTCTTTTCCAATAGCCAAGCCATTACATACATTCATTATCACTAATTGAAAATTTCTTAATGATTTCTATTTATATTTCGTAACATTATATAAATCATAGTAGAATTAGAACACAGTGAATACATAATATGGGAAATAAACCATGAGCTAAGCGCATTTTAGAGTCAATTTGTTTATGATTGCTTTATGATTATTTTTCAACTATCTATAGTTAATGGTTGGAGCCAACTGAATGGTTTAGTGGTTCTCGTTAATATCTTCACACGTTTCTTCTACAATTTGCTTTATATTCTTCAATTTTCTTAAACCTTGCCCACTAGAGAAACTTTTCATGGACATTGTACGCTTAACACTGCATTGACTGCCTGCTTAGGCTGCCTAGATAGCTGGTTGCATAGGTCTTGGCTTACATATTCTTAAATGATATAAAGATATGGTTATTTATATAATTTACTTATATATTTACCTCGTGCTGCTTCTCCTCGGCAGCGCGTCGCCGCTTTAGCTCCTTGTCGCGCATAATTTTCTCGCGCAGCTGCTTCTGCTTCTCAATCTTCAGGCGATAGGCGCGCGTCTCCTCGTCCTCGTCGCTGGGCTGCGGAGGGCAATGCATGAATTTAGCGAATGTTTCGTGTTTCGTTTCGTAGTTGATGCACTTACCAGGTTGCGACTGCCACTGGCACCGCTCTCCGCTGCCCGATTGCGCGGCTCGCCTGAGAAGGGATTACGCGGCCCATTTGGCGAGCCGCTGCGCCGTCTTTTGGGCGCTGCGGCGCCGGCTCCACTGCGATTCTCATCGCGTTCTCTGCTATTGACAGCGCGTCGATAGCCCCGATTGTCACTGCTGCTGATGGCAACTGGACGTGCTCCTCCTCCTACTCCTCCACCGCCGCCGCCTCCATAACGATCGCGATCCCGTTCTCTGTCACGTTCACGCTCCCGCTCTCGATCCCGTTCTCTGTCCCGATCCCTGTCACGATCCCTTTCCCGTTCGCGATCCGTGCGCTTCAGCGGCGAGTAGCTGCGCCCACGCGACCGACTGCGTGTGCGACTTCGCCGTCGTTCGCCTTGGGCACCGGACGCCGCCGCCGAGTTGGAGCTGGGCGGCGGCGGTGACCGTTCCATGCGTCTCTTCTCAAAGTACTGGCGATTCTTGAAGATGAACTCCTCCTGCTGGCGTAGCAGCTCCGCCTCGCTGTTGATGGCCGGCACAAAGTGAGTCTCCTTGATGAACTTGTTGGTGGCGGCCTTGACGCCGCCCTTGAAGTTCGGATTGATCAACACCTTGCTGACAACGCCACGCGGCACCGCCGATGGCTGCACCACTGATTGCTGCTGCTGCTGTTGCTGCTGCTGTTGTTGCTGCTGCTGCTGCTGCTGCTGCTGGTGAGAGCCCGGACCAATTGGTGGTGCGGCACCTTGTGCCGCTGCCTGTTGCTGGGCCTGTGTGGAGGCACCTGGTGGACCAGGATTTGGTTGCTGTTGCTGCTGCATATGAAGCGGAGCACGCATATTCATGCCATTCATATAGCTGGGTCCGCCCGATAGCAAATGCTGGGGCAATGCCTGCAGCGGGGGGCGCGGCATGCGCGAACCAGGCGCATCGCTCTGTGGCCGCCAGCCATTGTGCGGCCGTATATACTGAGCACCCATATGCGGATCATAGCCAGGCACAGGACCTCCGGGCCCGGGCCCAGGGCCGTGCGGACCATAGCCCGGCGGAGCATTGCGATAGGGCGGCGGTGGCCGCATGCCGGGTGAATGTGGTGCAACTGGTGGCGGATGTGGTCCCTGGCCTAGCAAGGCCCCATTACGATAGGCCGCATTGCCATACAGCAATGGCAATGGCAACGGTGGCTGCAGCAGACCCACTCGCACCTGATCGTGGGGATGCGAATGTGAATGCGAATGCGGATGTGGCAATAGATGCGGCGGTGGCAAGCCGTTGGGGCCACCACCACTGTTGTTGTTGCTGTTGCTATTGTTGTTATTGTTGTTGTTGTTGTTGTTATGTTGCTGTTGCAGCAAGTGCGAATTGTGTAGATGCGGGGATGGTGCGGGGCCAGGACCGGGACCAGCGGATGGAACGGGACCTGCATTGTTGGTTGTGTATGGCGACTGTTGTTGTTGTTGCTGCTGTTGTTGTTGTGTGGGTGTTGACGGTGGTGCTTGTGGTGCGTATTGGCCTGGAATGAATGCAGTTTTTTGTGTTAGTGTTGCTTGTTGTTGTTGTTGTTTTTGCTGCTGCTGTTGCTGTTGTTGCTGATGATGGGGCGTGGCCGCGGCCAAAATGCAAGCAGCCACAGGAGCTGAAACAACTCCAGTTGGCCCCGTCATCAACGTTGCCAAATGCCCATGCGAATGTGCATGAACATGTGGATGAGCATGTGCATTACCGGGTGGCATCAGGAATCGCGGCATCGACATGCCCTGCATCCGTTGCGGGTTGAACATGTGCGGACCGGGATTACGCAACAGATGATGCCGAGCGCCCATTCCGCGCTTATTGTTGTTGTTCTGATTGTTGTTGCCAGCCATAAAGCGTGGACCGCCAGAGCCGCCCATGCGTACTTTGTCTGCGAACAAAAAGAGTTATAAAATGATGAGTAAATGTAGTAATCGAGTAGCCTCTGTTGCAATTATCATTATAAATGTATTACTGACAGATGACTAAGGTATATATCGAGCAACATTACCAAGCTCAAACTCCATGCTGAAAATCAACCATAAAGATTATTCTCGCTTATGACACTACTGAACGGAGCTCGTGCTCCCCTATGAGAATTATATTGAAAAGCAAACTGCACTTAAGGAATTTACTCTACAATAAAGATCATACTCTCTCTCTCGAGCTCGGACTGGCTAATGAGAATTAAGCTCAAACATCATAGGCTCTATTCCATAATGAAAACTTCTCGTTCCAATGACTATTGTTTCTATTGTGGAACATGTGTTCTTCCTCCTTATGGTGACTGCGACTAAAGCGCACTTACCAGCGTGATGTCGCCTATGCAATTGCTGCTGCTGCGAATGCTGCTGCTGCTGTTGGTGTTGCAAATGTTGCTTCTGGTTGTCGGAACGTTCGCTGGCAGTTTTAAAATTGGTGCGCTCCTCACGCTCCTCGTCATCCTCGCGCGGATCGGGCAGCTCCGAAGCGGAACTGGTGCTTGGCAGACTTTCCTGCGAGGTGGCCAATAGCGAGGATAGTCCATCTCCATCTGGGGTTTCCGCATCACAAAGTTCCGGCTCTGCCACCTCCGAGTGCTCGTCATTGGCAGCCCTTGCGCTGCCATTGTTCACAGTGTGACTGCTGCTGTCTGTTGTTGGGCTATGATTTGCCCCTGCCCGCTGCTCCCTAAGCTCTTCGTTAAGCTGCTGTTCGCCACCAGCAATTGTTGTCGATGTAGCGGCAGCAAACTCTGTGACCTGCTGCGCTGTCTCACATGCAATTGGCGCTGTGGTTGTCTCGGCTGCTGCCACAATTGTGGCACTGGGTAAATCTCGACTAGCTCGGCCTTCATTGCTCGCTGTGGGTGATCCGGCTGAAGCAGCAGCAGCAGCAGTATTTATAGCGGATTGTTGCTGTTGCTGCTGCGTTGCTGCCGCCTTACGCAGCTGTTCCTGAGCCCACTCCTCAGCCTCAGCGCGCATCTGCTGTTTCACCTCACTGGTCACATCCTTTTCAAGCTCTATGCGAATAATATCAGTTAGATGTAGGTCATTAGGAAATGGTGTATTCAAGGACTTACCCTCGTCGGAGAGCAGTAGCTCATCCTCATCGGCGCCAAGCAGCGCCTGGTCATCAATGTCATCACCCAAACCTAACTCATAGTTGAGTAGATCGTCGCTGCAATGGAATGAAATCAAAATCGTAAAACTCTATTAAAAAATATATATAATATATATATACATAAACATTTGGGTATATATCCTTTATCTTGTCAATAGTTAATAATATATACATATATCCAGTGTCACCGATATTATTGTAGCAAATTCTTAAAGCTGACAAATCACTTTGTGCAATAATCGATATTTATGTTACGTTGATATCCCCTTCAATGTAAATAAATAAATACTGCACGGTAATAGAAATCTCTTAGAGAAAGTCTCCAATTTTAAATGCACTACGTATATATATACATATGCAATATTCTGTATGTTTTTCATGACACGCAGGTTCTGCTGGGAACTGCACCCACACTCACAGACACAAGCACACATATTCACTTGCGCAGGCAAATACCTTGAAAATATGTATGCATGTATACATGTTTGTGTGTGTCTGCTGTATGTACATTTAAATGGCAATCAAAATGTTGCACATTTTGCATTAATTGAATAGGACTGTAGCAGCCTTTGGCCATCTATCTATCACATTCGTTTCGTTTTTCACTTCGTTTCTTTTTTTGTTCTTTTTTTTTGCAATTATTTGCATTTTCACGCAACTTACTTAATGTCCGACATTTTGACTACGGGACCACCACCACCACCGCCACAAAGGCAGAGAGAGGAGGAGGTAGCGGCAGCTGTTGACACTCAGCGGCAGCGCTACCGAAGCGCGCGTGTGTCTGTGTGTGAGAGAGTGAGTGTGGTTGTGTGTGAGTGTGTCTGTATGTGTGCGCGTTATGTGGATAAAGTAGAACAACGTTTGTCTACTTTACGTAGGCCGATTATAACATGTTTGTTTGTTGCTTGAATTCGCACTTTTACTTAACATACGCATTAACACACAGCACATTAACAATTATTAATCAATTATTTTGCACGTTAAATTCACTGAAAACGCTGCGCTGCCAGCGTTTTCCACACGCAGTTTTTTTAGTTTTTTTTTTTTAGTTTTAGTACTTCAAACGACACACTATCCAACACTGAATTTGCGTACCAGCAGCGCTGCCATATCAAAGACACTGTATCGACTAGCGCTCACGCGGCTGTGTATCGATACAATCGATAGTCGAAAAATATGTGCACGAATCGATGTTACGATGAATTACCAAGATGATTAAGTAGTTCCCATTGGCACACGGTACACAATGTCGAGCAGCTGTGCGCATTAATTAAAATAATAAATATTCGTTTCGTGCGAAAAAAAAAGAATTTTTGACAAAATTTTGAAGTAAGCCGATCTGTGGATGTAGATGTGGAGTTAGTCATAAAACTGGATATGAGCGCCTAATAAAGGCTATTAGCCATCAGTCTTGCAACGAGCTCGCGTCGAAGTGGTCGAGCGGAATTGAACGCAAAAAGACGAAAACAAATTATTATTGTGTTGCAATTAGACAAGTTTCGCATACGCACGTACACACGCGCACATAGATATTTTCGGCTTTTCTATAACGCTTTTTTAAACACACACCAACACCAACACCAACACACACACACACATACACACACATGCGATTGTAAATTGTAAAAGAGTTCAATTAGACCAACCAATATCAGCCAAACATCAAATCGAATCGGAATCGGGTCAGTGAAATGCAAATTTGAAATATTTGAAATAGAATAAAAAGAGAAGAAAGGAAATGAACGACAAACAAAGTGCGAATGCGAAAAATGCGCAAAATCCAATCGAACAGCTGACCAAAAGGGCGCCAACACCAGATTCAGACAGTCAACAACATCAGCAGCAGCAGCAGCAACAACAACAAGTGGCCATGGCCACTGTTCGCCTGCCCATTGTGGGCATGACCTGTGGATCGTGCGTGCGTAATATTGAAACACAGGTGGGTCAGCTGCCTGGTGTGCTCAAGGCACGCGTCCAACTCGAAGAGAGCGCTGGCTATTTCGACTATGAGCCTAGTCAAATGGACGCCGAACGCATTGCCAATACCATCGACGACATGGGCTTCGACTGCAGCTATGAGCCAGACGTGAGTCCGGCTAGCGCCAGCGCGCACATACGCATCCTGGGCATGACCTGTCAGTCGTGTGTGCGCAACATTGAGTCACACATGTCCGGCCAGCCCGGCGTGCATCGCATCCAGGTGCAGCTGGAGGAGAAGTGCGCACGCGTCGAGTACGATCCACAGCAGTTGACGGCGGCCCAAATCGCCGAGGTGATCGATGATATGGGCTTTGAGGCGAGCGTGGCCGGTGGAACGGCGACAACGACGCCCAGACAATCGCCCATCAAGCAACAGGTGGCCAATGGCACAGCCGCCAGCCAGGTGCAGTTGCCCATCGAACAGGAGCTGTTGACCAAATGCTTCCTCCACATTCGTGGCATGACCTGTGCCAGCTGCGTGGCGGCCATTGAGAAGCATTGCCGCAAGATTTACGGCTTGGATACGATACTTGTTGCTCTGCTGGCTGCCAAGGCGGAGGTCAAATACAATGCAAATGTTTTAACAGCCGAAAACATTGCCAAATCAATAACCGAACTCGGCTTTCCCACCGAGCTCATCAATGAGCCCGACAACGGTGAGGCCGAGGTGGAGCTGGAAATATCGGGCATGACCTGCGCTTCCTGTGTCCACAAGATCGAGAGTCACGTGCTCAAGCTGCGCGGCGTGACGGCTGCCTCGGTCACATTGCTGACAAAACGCGGTAAGTTTTCTGTTGCCCGACCACCAGATACCCTGTAGCACTCAATGCAAACTCAAATCGCGATCATAAGCTCAATTTAGTCAGCTTTTTAGTCGTCTGCAGAGTGGCATAGCTCACGCCTGGAACTAGTTCCAGTCAAAAACATTCAAATCGCAAGATAAAGAATTGATAATATTAATTAAAATTTTGGAAATCTATTTTTAATGACTCACCATTAATTAGCTCATTTCACTGAACTAGTTCCAAGCTTCGCATTGTTTACGATTTCAATGAAAAACATCAATAAGCTCAAGGTATAGCTAGAAACAATCATTGTTTAACTGTATATATATATTATAGAATTTAATTGAATTTTCTTTTCTTTCTAACTTTCTCAAGATTTGTTTAATAAGTTGTGTAGCTTAGTTCTTTAGTTAACAGAGCTTATTTTACCTGAAGACCTTTTAAGTAAACACACAAATTTGAGCTTAGGTAGTGCTCATAACTAGTTCCAGTTCCAGAACTAGTCTTGCATAGAGGCATACAGTTTTTCCCTTTGAAGCCTGGAAGTTGAAGCATCTGGTTCAAGGTGCTACCTTTATTGCCAGTGTTGCATAATGCCTTTGGAATTGCATATGCTTCAGTTTCCTCAGGCCTTAAACGTATCAATATTTGCTTTTTATATAAACATCAATTGGAAACAATAGCAATTGCACTTGTGCCATATGCTCGTATATTTAGTCACTTCTGTCCACGAGTGTCGTAATACCCACTGCTTGATATATATGTGGATATAGAATATAAAGAAGAGCGGGACTGATTCGTACACCTGTTGAACGTATGAGTGACATCACGTGTCAATATACGCCACCAGTCTCTGATTTGTTCCAATTTATATAGAACTCCGCCGTAAGGGAGCTGTGATACGAAACTTTCGGCTGTCTATGCTATAGTATATGTACTATATAGAGGGCGTGAGGGCCTATGCTTGATAAGCACTCCAACCAGGGCAATGCTCACAAGAACAAACAAAGCAAAAAAGAAACAACAATTTGTGATTAAATGCGAATGTGTACTTAGTTCTCAAATACAGATTATCTGAACTATATACGTGTATATATATATGTCATATAGTATATACGTATATCGCATCACGACTAGGGGTCTGAGCTGAACAGATATGAAAAGAGTGTTGGCACTTTCTTATTGAAATTAGTTTGTGATAGGTTCGTTAGGTCTTGGAACTGTGTGCCGAAGTATCGCAAAATAAGTCGCGTTGCTCTTTGGGCACACCTCGTGAGTCCATATTATATCAAATAGCATTAGAAAGCTACGATTAGTAATAAGATAGAAGCTAGTCATGGAGTATATATGATTTATACAACTGCAACTCTAGATGCCCATTTCTAGCTTTGACAAGGAAATTGGAAAACCTTTTCAAATTGTATAACGGAGAAACCCCAATTAAGTTTTTACGTATAGCTAATTACAAGGAGTCATTGCCAGTACACATTTGTGAATCACCGAGCTACCTTAGATATATATGCATATATATATATATATATATATATATATATATAGGTATATATAGATTTAGATACTTAAAACGAGGGCGCATTTGCTTTGTATGCACTCGATTGTTTTCGCTGCGTTTCAGATACATATGCATACACATCTACCTACACACACATATACATATACAGACACTGATACGGACAGGCAGCTATATGCGAGCACAACAGATACAACTACAGCTATGATACACACACGCGCACTTATACATACAGTTACATTAATAAACTTGTAGCAATGGCTACAATTGCTATAACGGTTTCTAAAGCCTTCAGCTACAGCTTTAAGCCACAAAAAAATTTTCATTGTAAATCAGTTTAAGCTGAAAGTGAAAGAGCCTCGCCCTATTTCACGGTAGCAGCACTTCTCCTTTCTCTTCCCCTCTCTCTCTATTTCTCTCTGACACTCTCGCTCGATCTGTTCGTGTGTGTCTGTGCTTATTTTATTTTTTTTTGTTTTGGCTTTGTTTTTGTTAGCCACTCTTTAGACTGTTGGTTCGCTGCGCATGCGCAACGTTCACATTTACCTTCAATTCGTTGTTGCTTTCTTTGTATTTTGCAGACTTGAATGGGAAATATATGTGTGTATACATACATACATATTTTATGCTTATAAAATTATGCAAGAGCCATGCGATGCATTAAAGATGAACGCGTGACTCTGGCTGGATGCCCATAAAAAACTATAAAAATATATATATATATTTATATAATATAATTGCAAAATATATTAAATTATAAATTAAAAACGATAATAAATAATATATATTAAGTATTTCACTTTTTGTGATATTTTAGCTTCAGAAAATATTGTTATCATGCTAATGACATTCCGCGACTTGTTGACATATGTTATTGCATATCGAACTAGCTGCCGTCACTAGTTTAAGTACTTACACGACTAACCGTTGAAGTAATCGATTCTTGTTGTTGCCATGCCGGTATGCGACTTGTTGTTGTTCGTTTGTCTGCCCTCTACGAAAAATGCAATTTAACTGGTTTCCATTTTCTTTTTTATCGCTAAGCCAGCGAACTGCCAGCTGTGAAATTGTGCACACTTTCATTTTGGCATTAGCAGAAAAAAGTACTAGTCGGAAAAGCGATCCTCCTAGCGATATAAGTAAATCAATTTATGCGAAGAGCTTGTTTTGCGATATTGATATGGATAGCTTGATATAAGAGTTGCATATTGCAGATTGAAATCATATACATATTTGTAAAGTTCGAAATATGTATGTACGTAAAACGAGTATGCTTTCCATATACATATCTATGTACATACATATTCATATGGTACATTTATTATATGTGTAGCATGCTCGTTTTACGTACATATATCACTTCAACTTATATGGAAATCAAATTATGTATACAAAAAATTGGCAATGGGGGTGTCACTTTTTTCTATTCTAATCATACTTGAATGATATAAGAGTCACAGCATGAAGGTCGATCTGTGTTAAACAGAAGTAGAGCAAAGGGAGAGAGAACCAAACTCATTAGCATGTGTGTTTACAGCTAATTTGTCGGTGCAGAACTTTTTCTGGTTTAATCAAAAAACTTTGTTAAACAACTGCAAAAAATTTCAAGTTTCTAGATAAATTGCACTACTATCTACAAGTTTTTGTGATTGTGTTTTTGCCAAACAACTTGGGAAGCTACAAAAAAAAGTAGAACAAAATTTGTGACTTACGGTAAAGTTGTAGAAACATATGTTTTGCCTACCGTTCGATCGATGCTTATCAGATAAGTGACGCGTACGGGGCCCCAAGCCCAACGGGGCAACAACAACAGCAGCGATTACAACAATGGGAAATATTCTAAAAATGAAAACGAATCGAAGCGATAAGATGCAACAACAATAACAGCAGCAGCAGCAAGAGTAGCACAACAAAAACAAACGGTACAATGAACGGGACAATCTAAGCAAGCATGCAAACGAAAAAAAAAAAAAAAAAAAAAAAAATTAAATAATGTTTAGTGAGAGGGCGAGGAAGAGGATCGCGAGGAGAGCAAAGCGAGATTGCAGCGCTTGTAATTGTGGCTGTCAGAGATGTGTGTACACACACACATATACACGCACGCATACACTCAATGTTGATTATCTTGGACTGCTTTGTGTGGCAGAGCAGCGTTTCGATCGATTGGCTTCAATCAATCGATCGTCGCACTTCGCTTTGCTGATAATTAGCATTGAAATTCGAACATGAGCGGATGTTATGCTAATCCCTACTGATGATGCCTTCAATCGCGATCAGTCGTTCGACCTGTAAAGACGTGAATTCGAACAGCCTTCGCTTAAGCTCTACTGCTGCAGAGTTCTAAAAATAGAACTTTGCGGTGCATTCTTCAACGCAACAGCAACAAAAACCGCACACGCAGCGTTTTCTTATCGCTTGCTTCCGCGTAACTCAATTGCTTTAATTGCAATTTACGAAATTTCGTCGCTTGGCGCGAGTGCGCCTGCACTCAAAAGCACAATCCGCGATGACATCTAATGTCAATAACCTCGCTACAGCTGTAAAGGTAAATGCAGAAATGCAAGCCCAGCTTAACGTTGTGATGGCAAATAGGCAAGCCTCCATCATGCCAATAAACTCAAAAATAGATATCGCCTCCGTGCAAGGCATCACTAACAACAAAAACACGAAACGTAAACAGCCAAATTCACCAAAAACCATCAAGAAAAGGCTCATCTTCGACGAACCAAGCACCAGCAATGCAGCATTAATATCAGAAAATCGATTTTCACTGCTCGTAGAAGAAGATGAAGACTACAGCGAATCACCTGTAGCTCCAGAAGCCCCAGTATTGACCGACCAGCAAACTACTCCGAAACCTCGTCCGCCCCCCATATGGTGTCCAAACATCAAGTCTGTGGCCCTACTTCAACAGATAATAGATAAAGTAATTGATGCTAAATCATACGTAATTAAGCCAAAGAAGAATAACATAGGTGTATTAACCCAATGCAGTGAGGACTATCGCAGAGTTATAGACCACTTTACTAAGCTGGAATTGGAGTTCCACTGCTACCAGCTTAAGGAGGACAAACCATATAGAGTCGTGTTCAAAGGGCTTCACTCCAGCACTGATACAACACTAATTAAAAAGGAATTGGAAACCAAAGGCCACACAATTACAAATGTGCACAACCCACTGAGCCGTATGGACAAAACACCGCTAAATATATTTTTTGTTGACGTGGCTCAGGCCCCCAACAACAAAGAAATTTTGGACATTCGAGTTGTCTGCAGGCAACGCTGCACAGTGGAACTGCCAAGAAGATACAACGACCTGACACAATGCCATCGCTGTCAAGAATTTGGACACACACAACGCTACTGCCACAAAGCTCCCAGATGTGTGCGTTGCGCCGGGAAACACGCATCCAAAGACTGCACCCGCGAAAAGGACCAGGCACCAACTTGTGTGCACTGTGAGTTACAG